GTAGATTTGGAGTAATGCATGTTTATAATTTCTGTTAAAACTCTTGATCGATAAAAAAAATAATATGGAAACACTGCAAATCGCTATACTCTTTAAAAAAAGCAATCACAAATCGGAAATCAAACAATTTCGGATAGTCATTAACGTGGTGAGCGTAATTTCCTTCTGCAGGGAAATTAATCGTTAGAGATATATATACACGGTGTGTTTTGTAGAACAACTTCTACATAAAAAAAATTCGGCAAGTCTGATATTTCCATTTGTTTTTCTAGCATTTAAACTATGGTTTTACAATGGTAACTTTTGAATAACCAAGACATTGGAAGTAATAGCCCTCATCCCCCCCTTTGATTAAAAAAGAGACAGCAGAGCGGTGGAGAACATGTAAAATAGAAACCGAGGTAAGTAGAGAAGTCATTATCCTACGACGTAGGCTTTTCGATTAAATATAATTAAAAGTGTGTATTTAAATAACGAATATAGATGAATGATCTGTTGTTCGGATATGCTATAGTTTTTACAAATGAGCACTGTTGTTGTATAAAACCACGGAACGAAGCAAATGATCGTCGTAATGTTCTGACGTATCTGGAACTTTCATCTTCTGTCATGTTAGTCAAAATTCAATATGGACAGATTCGCACTCCTGTTCGCCATATATCCCCTACCCTGATCCTACGAAGTTGCAGAACTCTGGAACATGAAAGCGTAAGATATGGAACTTGGAGCTATTTGGTAGTCGTGCATGAATCCAACCCTCTGCAAATTCTTCAATTCTCTAAAGATATCCAGAAATTAAGTTTTCTTGAAGGCATGCTTTGAACACCTCAGGAAAACGGTCAAGTACCTACCAATAGCCTCTTAATTAAGATAATGATAATAAGAGAAGAATTAAATTGAATTCTTACATTTCTGAAAATACTGAGCGGTCCATCAACATAGGTCTCTTCTCCATTAATTTGTGGCAGTTTCTACCTGTAAAGCCATACTTGCTATGACGTTGACATGAACTTAGCTTCACCCACTGTTCAGCAGTTGTTGGATCAACAGCTGCAACACCTTTGTAAATGGCCTTTATGATCCCAAGTACGATATGGAGCACGGGTGGTGGACAAAGCAGAGTATTTCTTTGATTAGGAGCTCCACACAACTTTGGTTTAAAACGCAGTTATAAAAAGTCTTTGCTCGTTTATCATCAGCACCGTCAGTATTCCATTTTACGTAACTTGTGTTTATTGAGTCCAACGTTCTTGGAACCTTGCTCTCTTGAGAAAGCATGGCCTTACTTGTGCAGCAATATGGACAAGGATAAGTTGAACTGTGACCCATGATACCTAGCAAAAGATTGAAGATTTTAAGGTCACTTGCGACAACCGCTTCCAATTTGTCCAACGCGAGAAGTGTCAACCAAATTTGTACAATATTGGTGTACTTTTCCGGAATGCTGGGTATTACTGTAAGAAGAAACAACTTCTTCGTTTCTGTATCTTTAGGTCCATTCCCCCTTCTTGGCTCCTTTCTACGATAGATAACGTAATCTTAAATGAGCCTCCTCCCCCATCTGCTCCTATCTTATAGAATACATCGGATATATAGAATGCACGGCAGGTTCTAATAATGTAGTCTGGATCAGTCTTGTAAGCGGTCACGGTAGTCGACACATTTTCTGTGATAATCGACTGCTTTTGCCTCCGACACTTGCAAAACAAGCTATCATAGTACAGTATTAAACTCAAATGTCATACGACAGGCTCTGTCATATGACACTGTCACCGAAGACCGTCACGAATGTATGTATTTTAGTTTTTCTCATTATAAGAGCTGTTGATGTTGTGCTTGTGTGAATTCTGAAAATAGCATGCAATACTGCCTTAGGAATAACATTTCTGATCAGAAATGGTTTAATTTACACCAAATTGAGCCATTAGAACGAAATCACTCATGTCGTATGATAGTTATTTGATAATTTTCTTTTTGCTCGAATGTTATTCTATCGGTTGTGTTGTGTGAGAGAGACGACGGTAGAGCATGAGTATACGAATAAAAACAGACTGTCGCGCTCGACAACAAAGTGAGTGTAGTAAAAAACGTCAACTGTTTCAACCCCTGGTCTGGATCAATTTATCTCCAGGTACGGGTCAATGTTTGTCTGAGGCTTGCTGTACTCGGGTGGCATTTAGAACAGGCCTTGGCGTTCATGACGCGCCATATTGAGTAATCCAGCGGATTAAGATCGGGGCTGGATGGCGGCCACATATCCTTCGCCCAGAACGGAAGATGTTCCTGCAACCACTTCTGAGTGCGGTTCGAGGTGTGGCACGGAGCCCCATCTTGTTGAAATACTTTTTGGCTTCGGACCGTACTGTTCTTTGATCCACGGAAGAGAACATACTTACTTAAAATCCCGATGTAGACCTCGGTGTTGACCTTGTCGCCATCTGGAATGTACACCGGGTCCATTGTTTTGCCATCGGAAGATACCAATCCAAACACCATAACGCTAGCAGGATGCATGGTCAGATACACGTTCTTGTGCTCTTCGGCCATGTCTTTTAGAAGAGAACTAATATACCGATCGGTTCTGGAATTTGATACGGGATCGACGGTAAACATGCTCTCGTCGGTGAACAGGATTACCGAAGTTCGTTTCGCTTCAGGAAGTTCAAGATTTTCTTGCATCGTTCGACTCGTAGCTCCCGGATGCGGTTGGTAATCATGTGAGTTTTTTTTCTGTGCCCTCGACTTCGCCCTGCAATCTTCCTTTACGATCTTCCGTGCCGTAAAGTGACTGATCCCGTGTTCCTTTGCCATTTTCCTTATTGAACGCACTGGATTCACCCGAATCTTCCTTATGATAGCAGCGATAGCCCTCGGAACCCGAGCTGACCTCAGACGACCTGTAGCCATCTTCGCGGATAGTTGTCCTTTCTTTTCTCGGTCTAAAACCCTTTTGACGGTCCACCGGGACACTCCCACGGCGATTGAAATGTCTTTGCAACTGTCAAACTAAGTAAATCATTTTTTTTAATACACAGCCTACTACGGTATGAGCTATAGGTTACGTGCATGCAAAGACAACCAAGGCATTGTATGCACAGGTGAACCTTATTTGTACGATGGTGTAGTAGGATGCATTTCATATTTTTATATCTAGTTGTAATCAGTTAGATCTCACCGCTTATGTATTGTGTCCTTGCTGCTGAATCTTTGTCATCTCGATTTTCGTTGAGTCCGGCATCTGTAGCGGAATACTCTTCTCTCGTTGAAAACAGAGACGACTTAACCACTTATACTCGTGGTTGAGTCTCGGAAACAGGAAAAATGTAAGGTAACATAAAAATAGGAAAGTAGCATTCCAATTTCTAAGCCACCATGAAGAAAAATGGAAAAACTGTGTACATCATCCACAATAATAGCGACCTGGGTGAACAGAAAACACGGATAAGTCAATTTCCACCTAACGCAGTTCCTGTCTGGCCACGGCTGCTTCAGGAAATACCTGCATCGCTCGGACACGCAACGTCACCCCTCTGTCTGGAGTGTGGCAACGTGGACGAAACGCTGGAGCATGTGGTCTTCTACTGTCCTAGGTTCGAAGTGGACTGTCGCAGTGCGAAGAGAGATGCCCGTTCTTAACGTGGAGAATGTCGTCGATGAAATGTGTCGAGAGGAGGGCAGTTTTCCAAGTGCCAACATAGCTGGTAGATTTTGTCGGAGCTGCAGAGTAAATGGAGAGAGAAGAAGGGCTGCGAGGAGACCCCCCTCCCTCCTCCACGCACATAAAAACTTCTTACTAGAAGCCTTTTTCATGAAGCTTCTTCGTTCAAGCTTCATACTCGTAATGATTTCGCATAAATAATACGAACTTAAAAATTTCATTTTAAATTATCGAATTTATTGAAATGTTCGTAATACTACATCGAAAACCACCCTACTATCTTCTTCTAGATCTTTTAGTCTTCTGTAGCTTGCGTTTTGCCGGCTGACAACTGTATTCTAGATGCAGTTCCAGTTATTAATGGTGAGCTTTCTTTCTATGCCAACACCAATGCATGAATTTGAATATTGTGTGGTAAGGCAAGCATAATGATACTTTATGTTAACATGCCTATAAATAGTTATCATGTTACAAAATGACGGGTTTGGTGATTCAAATTTCGAATTGATTTTGGTCGAATCTGTAAACAGGCCGCTAAATCTGATTGATATTGCCAAACATTTGTTTTCCTGTCAACTCAGACAAATATCTATTAGAATGTTCCATGCTTAAATTGATTGTTGAACTACTGACTTTGTAGTGGCGTCCAGGATGTAATATTTAAAAATAATAATCCCAAATTAACGGTGTTTTAACAGAACCAGGTAGCTTGGTGAAATAAAAGTTGAGGAAGTTATTTTTCTAGTGGTGTTAAAATATAAGAAAATGGATAAGGGGCCGTTCATAAACTACGTAGACAGTTTTTTGTTTTGTTTCTTGACCCCCCCCCCCCTCACTCTGCGTAGACAATTGTCCATACAACATTTATAAAATTAGTATGGGCCGTGGATGATTGCCCCCTCCACCCCCCCCCCCCATAAAAAATGTCTACGTAGTTTATGAACAGCCCCTAATTATAATCCGATATACATTATACAAGAAAAAAATACATCCTCAGCACACGTTGAATTTTTGTTTTAATGCAAATTATTTAAATTGCCATGCTCTATGAGGATAATAGTCATCGCTACTCATTAATTAATTTAAAAAAAATCTACTGAAGCGTGAAACAGATTCATTAACATTGTTTAAAAAAAGCGGCATTCCGCTAATGAACTCCCGGCGCGTCAAAACAACGTTGCAGTATAGTTACCAGGTGTCGCCCTTTTAGTCATTCGTCTATAATTGAATTATAATCATGGACATTGTTCAACTCAACCCCCTTAATCAGTCTAATTGAACTTGTAACTCCCAGTCGCAATGCAAAAATTATTCGAGAGCACAATGAATGTTGATGACTTACCTCCACAGTATGCCTTGAAATCAGAACAGCAGTCACCCAGTTTCAAGCATGCATGATCGCAGTAGCATGGTTTCACGTTCAAATCATTTGCTGCGGCATTTGAGAGCATTTTTTGCACTACACACGACGAATCTCGACCATTGCAGCACAGCGTGGCTTCTCGACACGAACCACCGTAAACGCTAACCACAAAAACTGATAGCACCAACGGAAACACCATCAAACACTCGGCGCACATTTTACCGCTTTTGGCTTTTGCTTTTTCTCTTTTGTGCGAAGATTTCCACCGCAAATGAAAAAATAATCTCCAATTTGCGAAATTACACCTCTAATCAGCTTTCTTATCCGTCTTGAGTAACTTTGTCAAGGAGGCGTCTCGGTGCCACATTCCACAAGCGCTCAATTGCCATAAATGGAGTCAGTTAAATTCCCTCAACAAAGACATCTCACAAATCGTTTGGCACCTGTGAAAAAAAAATGTTGATCATGAAATTAATGGACTAGCATTTGAAATACAAATAGTCAAGGGGAATTTTCCATTCGCTACACTGTAAAGTGAGTTTTTTTCTGATTGAAAATTCATTGTTTGAATCAAAACAGCCATTTAATTTGATAGTTGAAATCTTAAATATTTTAACATAATTAGAACCTTCTTCGAACAAAATATTTGGTACGCGTAGTAGCTTTTATTATTACAGATCTTTTGTACCAAATAATTTTCCAATGTTCGCTTTTTAAATCGATATGCTGAAAATAAAATATAGTAGAAAACATTTGTTAAATACACGAATCCATTCGTTGTTTTCTGCAACCACATACATTCGTATTTTAATTAAGCTAGTTTCGTTATATAAATTGGCGGCGTTACAAATGCCACACTCGCTACTGATTTTATTTCGTGTCAAAACGAATGATTCATAAAATAAATACAAAATTTCCGTGTAGGTATATAGAAACAAAAGTACAAAAAGAACAAACAAACGTACTAAAAAAAAAAATATGCGTGCAAAGAAAATCTACCTAGTTATTTTTTTTTATCGTTGCATGTACAAAGACGATAGCGATTTATTTTTCAATTCCATGAATGGTTTTAACTAATAATTTTAAGCGGAGGGTTGAGATGATTGATGAGAAAATCTAGTGCCAACGGGTCCTGAGGAATAATTTAGCTCAGGAGACAACCAGAACCGTGAAGAATTATTTCCCTCCATTAGCGATCCACCTTCATTAGATGGATGTCAAACCAATTTCAACTTCCTGAATACACACCAGCATTCATATCAGCATCAATTGCAGCAACAACAAATATGAATGTCTGCGAACGACAACAGCAGCAACAGAAACCTTTCCAAACACACAACTTGACACATCACCGCCATCAGCAACACTAGCAACAAAAATATGAACAGGCCCTCAAAGACAAGAAGAGCAGCAGTTTGCTGATCCGTACGAAATTCGTACGAATAAGGCGTAATGTACAATTTACGAAAAATATGTAGAGCTTTGAGTGTGTTGGTTTATTTCCTTTTAATTCCGTTATAATTGCTTATCTTTTGACAGATACGCGTATTTCGTCTACTACTTGCAGACTTCATCAGTTCCAAGTCTAGATAGAGCTGGAATTAGGGCGTAACAGCTTTTGGTAAAAATGACTGCTCTCGATGATTTCTCTGAAGTAATGGCTCTCCCTGGCAAATCGACATCACCATCGAGTAGGGGAAGACTTCTCCTACCCGATGGATATGTTGGTTTGTGTAGACGTGCCTTGATTTCCGAGAAATCAACAAGCGAAGTTGTGAGATGCCGAGTATTTTATGCTGCCCGTTTACTATCGTTGATCTGGCTCTTGCCGGACACTTTTCTCTATCATCGGCAGTATGGCAGTGGACACGAAACTCCCAATAATAGATGTTGCACTCGATCTTAAAAAAAGGAACGAAAATTGTACAGCTGAGTGATATTTTCGCTGCGATTAATTATTAAATTACCTCTTTGCGGTTGCAGTGAAATATGTAGCCCGCTATAGCAACATATCTTTTCCACGTGACGATTTTACGACTTCAACGTTAATGTTCTCCATTTTGAGAGTAAATTAAACCAACCCCTCACTGATCAGCATGTCCTAACAATACATCTTCGATGAAAAAACGAACACATTGATCTATGGTTTGAAATATTTCAACTACCATGCGTCCGCTTTTTTTTTTAACTCTTTATTTGTTCCAAATTCAAAATAAATTACATTCCATTTTTAACCTAGGTGCTCCAGTTACTACAGTAACTTACCAGCCTTAATTGTCATGATATATATCTAAGTGTTTTTACATTGTTCCTGTCTTGGCAATTCAGAATTCAGTATTTTAAACCTGCATGTCAGTATAACAATTGATATCCTAAAACTAAAAACTAAAACTAAATCTTATCTAAGTATAAAGGGAATTAATCGTTGCAATTGAGGATTGCAACGATTTTTGCCTGAAATTATTAATTATTTTGTTGGACATTTGTGCTAAAGTCTCAACATTCGAAATTCTATGTACTTCCATAGTACTGTACCAGGGAGGCAACTTCAAAATCATTTTCAGAACTTTGTTCTGAATCCTTTGAACTGCTTTTTTCCTGGTAGTGCAACAACTAGACCATATTGGCACAGCGTGAAGCATGGCCGGTCTAAAAACTTGTTTAAATATAAGAAGTTTATTCGTCAGGCAAAGTTTGGATTTTCTGTTTATAAGAGGATACAAACATTTTATATATTTGTAACATTTGGCTTGAATGCCCTCAATGTGGTCTTTAAAAGTTAATTTTTGGTCAAGTACTAATCCAAGATATTTCACTTGGTTTGACCAGGAAATTGTAACTCCGCTCATAGTGACTATGTGACTACTACTAGGTTTCAAAAAGGAAGCTCTAGGCTTATGTGGAAATATTGTAAGTTGAGTTTTGGAAGCGTTGGGAGGAATCTTCCATTTTTGGAAATAGGAAGAGAAAATATCTAAACTTTTCTGCAGTCTGCTGCAAATTACACGAAGACTTCTTCCTTTAGCGGAAATGCCTGTGTCATCAGCGAACAAAAATTTGTGGCAACCCTGAGGCAACAACAATATAGGCCCAACCATGCGTCCGCTTGATTCTTTTCAAATATTGACGTACTGTTCTTTGTTGTATGCAATGCCAACACAACCGCATAACCCAGCACGTATTTGTTTCATTATTTGTTGCACAGTAGTGAAGCAGTGAAGTTAACACTCATAAAGATGATGGAGCACCCATTATCGACGATAAAAAAAACTTATTTTATTGGCATATAATCATCAAACATTTCTCGCCAAACCATTCAAAAACTCATATCTTCTGTGAGTAACACAATAAGAAAAATATGTGTGCTGAATGTCATCCCTCAAATAATAATTATAAAGGCTGTGAAGGTTCTTCTCGTAATTCCCGTTAATTCGCATTATGAACTGCATCCATGAGCCATGATCTCACAAAAACAGAAAGATTTTAGTTGAACTCTTTCTACATACCGGAATGTTTTCGAAGTCACTATTTTCCGAATAAACAATGACCAGTAAAATACAGGTCCGATGACATCTTCTTCTTCTTCTTCTTCTTCGCATTTCAAGCTTAATGCATATCGCTAATATAGCTTATTGCGTGCTCTCAACATAGTGTTCTAGATGCACTTCCACAGTTATTAATTGAGAGCTTTCGAGGCCTGTACCATTTATGCATTAGTGTAATTGTGTGGCAAGTACAATCATACTTCTATGCCCAGGGAAGTCGAGAAATTTTCCAACCCGAAAAATTCCTAGACCGTACCGGGAATTGAACCCAGCCACCTCCAGCATGGTCTTGCTTTGTAGCTGTGCCTTTACCGACTGAGCTGAGGGAGGCCGATGACATCTTGGATGACGAATAAAATATCATTCGAGTATGAATTTTCTCTGTTAATCACCGAAATAATTTGTAAAGGTTTGTTCATATTGAATTTCGATGTTGATCGATGTGTGTTATCCTAAAGAGACTGCTTGATATTGAATATACCTAGCCAACGAATACAATGCCATAGTTCATCTCAACCTATCATGGACGAGGCTTGTATAAGTTATTAAAGTTTTGTGAACCATAATGTGCGTAACATGCTACCCAGCTCTAATTCGAATAACACGGTGAAAATAAACCAAAAATTCCTCAAGCATTTAAAGGTTAAATAATATGATCGTATTATTCTTCTTCTTTCTTTCCTTTATTTAACGTCGATCTATGTGCCGCAATCTAGTGCCAATCACCGACGGACATCGATTGCCATCCATTGACGGCAATCGAATATGCAGGAAGGCAGCTTCCACACCTGTGTAGGATATCGCACCCATTCAACACACATGGGACGGGACCAACGGCTTTACTTCCCTTACGAAGGAAGACGTGACCAGAGATTTTTATACCTCAGTAAAATCCCACTGATCTCGGATGGGATTGAACCCAGACACCACCGGCTTTATCGTATTATTAATTTGCATGTTTTACTCTTTTATCAGTCGCTTGTAAAAGTTATAGATATTTTTTTCTTTTGTAGATTATGCCTAACGTCCATTATGCCTAACGTCCTTTATGTCTAACGTCCATTATGCTTATCGTACATTATGCTTAACGTCCGTATGCCTAACGACCGCATGCCTAACATCGTGTATCCCTCAAGGGGCACTGCTAAGCATCTACAGTCAAGATTCCTTTAGTACGGTTAATAGGGACCGCACTATAGGAACCGGCATTAACAAATACACGTAGCATATGGGATTAGAGCTAATTGGGACCAAACACTGATTGTCGGGCAATTTGAAGAGATAACTTCCTGATGTCTTCTGATAAGTTGTTAAGCAGAAAGTTGGCCACCTTTTGGGACGATTCAGTTTCCAGTAGGACACAAGTCTGATCCTGTGGAAGATCCGGAATATCCGTAAAAGTGGCCAATTCATGAAACTGATCCTAGAGCTCCGCGGATTTTTCGAAACCACTCATAAACGTCTATCAGAATGTATTCGGAGTTGTGACCGGAATATGAGCCCTGGGGATTACGGAATAGTTCACCGGAAGATCCGGAACATCCGTAAAAGTGGTCAATTCATGAAACTGATCCTAGAGCTCCGCGGATTCTTCGAAACCACTCATAAACGTCTTATCAAAATGAATTCGCAGTTATGACCGGAATATGGGCCCTGGGGACCACGTGATAGTTCACCGGAAGATCCGGAACATCCGCAAAAGTTGTCAATTCATGAAACTGATCCTAGAGCTCCGCGGATTTTTCGAAACCACTCATAAACGTCTATCAGAATGTATTTGGAGTTGTGACCGGAATATGGGCCCTGGGGACCACGGGATAGTCCACCGGAAGATCCGGAACATCCGTAAATGTGTTCAATTCATAAAACTGATTATAGATCTCCGCGGATTTTTCGAA